CACAATTTTTTAGGTAGGAAGAGGAACATAACTATTGCAAATAGCAACAATGAAGAAAGCAAGACGACCCTGTGATTACCCTAGGTAAATGAATTCCTTCCTCCTACAGCTCAGAGACTCACAAAACTGGGCAAGACTGGAGCATCTTTCAAACCTAAACATCTGTCTCTTCAGGGTACAGTTGGGGAAAATGCTGCAAACCCTGAGGAGCTTGCTTTCCCACACTGATCCCTGGAGGGTGTACACTCCCTTCCTAATAGAGAAGGGTGAGAAAATACAGTGCAGTGGATACAGCTGATACATTATTTTAGTATCAGGCCTGCTACAGAACCTGCCACAATACCATGAGTTCTCATCTGGTTAATATTGCTGTGTCCTCGGTTCTTGCCTCACTGCACTATTGGTTAGCACACCTTGGACACTGAGCAGGAATAAAACACTGACAGTAGTCTGGTAGTCTGCAGCTGCAGAAAAATACTGAAAGAAGTTACAGTACTCTCGTGATAGTTTTTTGGTTCATTTTACATGATTCTACATAGCCAACCACAAACAAACATCCCCAAAATTCACCTTCTATACACATTCCTTTTCTGTGGTTTAAATCCATGCCTGTACTGAACGATGCATGAGGAGGATGAGCACAAACCACAGCCAGCAGATGCTCTCCAGATATCATTCTTTGTAACTGAACCCAAGAAACAGTAGCCTCCCCAAGCACACAAGCCACCTAGCCTCTAAATCACCCCATTCCTGTCTATGTGATGCTAAATCCAATTATTTTAGCCAAGAATGACCCTTTAGATGGAGCTGTGAAAACAGTAGATGAGATTTAACTCTTAATAGCTCCGTAAGTCTGTGAGGCATCTACTTAGAGAGCAGGCTAAGTGGGGGAGGGTGTGTCAGGGTGAAAGAACCAACCTCAGGGCAAAGGACTTTTATAGGAATTATTGCGATCATCTGACAGACAAGGCTGAGGGGAATGTTGTGGTGTCCAGCACAAACAGCGAGGGAGTGAAACTGGGATTCAGACTTGGGTTATATTACTGTATCACCCTCCAAACTGCTGCATGGTCTTGGGTGCAACATGGCACTCATCTCCATTTTCCCTCAGCAAAATGGGATTGCATTTATGTCATGTATGAAGGCTGCAAGATCAACAAGCAGTGGTTCAATACCCATGTGGTTTACTTACTCATGGCCATGCTCAGAGAACAGGCATCCCAAACCCACAGCAGTGGCAAACTTCTTGCTAAAAAGGTTTTGTGGTTTTTAGGGTTTTTTTGGTTTTTTTTCGATTATGCATGTTTCTTGGTTGTCTTTCTTGTCATATCTTCTCTAGTCTGTATAACAAGCCTGAACAAACATATCTGACTGCAACTATCCTATCTAATTACTAAGTACATCTTTCTATCAATGCGGATAGCTGCCCTTTCAACTCTTCCTGTTTATTATTTTCCTCATATGCTTGCAGAATAAGTGATTGTGAAGATCTCCATGACACAGGCAGGTAACGGAAACATAAAGACAGTATGTCCCATCCAAAGTCTGTGTGGCAAGTTGGTAACAGGAAATTGTACCTGGATCTCCTCAATTCCCAAACTGAAGTATTAGCCACTTTCTTTCCAAGCAGGGATTACTTCTATCTGGCAGCTGTTGGAGTAATACTGAAAGAGGAGCCTCTAGCCCCTGAGGAAATACTAAGCTGGAAGCTCACATCCTTTTTCAGAGAAATGTCTCCAAGTGTTACCAGAAATGAAGTCACATGTACCTTCTTTCTGGTCAAATGACCACTTCATTAACAGCAAATTTCAGGTATACTTTTGTGGGGTGATTAACTTACATGCCTCAAGTTTATGAGAAAAAAAGATAACTGAGTTTCATCTTATGGAAATAAGTTTTATATAATTGCAAAAGTAATGCAGGATTTCTGAGGAAAAATTTAGTGTCAAGTGTCTCCACCAATTTAGGATGTCTGATGGTGCACAATCGCTGTAATTAATTTCTGTCATCTTACAGAATTGGTTCTAATTAGCTGATGCTTTTCCACTAAGAAGCATCTTCATATTGCAAATGCATGCCAAATTTTTTACTCAAAAGCTCAAAGTTAACAGCCAGTATACAGGCTATTTTGTGGGGTGGGGAAGACATAATCTACCTGAGCTTTCTGTTTAATTCATACAAATAGCAGAAAGTAAGGCACTGGTCTGGGGACTTGGTCACATAACTGCAACCAAAATACAGCACTAAATAAGATGAAGGATGAGTGTAAGCTGCTGGCCTGGGATTCAGGGGAACTGATTTCATTTCTACTCTCTGCCATATACTTTGTGCACAATACCATGCAAATCACTTAACATCTTGGTGCTTTATTTCCTATCTGTAAAGCAAGGAAGTAAAGGCTATTAAGGTTTTAGGGTTTAGGGGTCAAAGAGAGTTTTACTTGGAGTTTATGATTTGTGGCACAACTCGTACTGGCTTGAAAGCTGATATCCCACCAATGCTGTGAGGAGGGTGATGGCAAATGTCTTCCATGAGAAGTCTTTCTTCTGGAATACCCTCACATGGTTCATCACAGAGTCTCACTTTGAAATTGTAAGATTGACCCATTTTTCCAGGCTTTTGGAGAAGGGCAGGTTGGAGGGATGTGCTGGTTAATTTTTGCAGGTTGTTGTGTGTGTGGAAATATTTCTTCTGGTGAAAAATGGATTTTTCCCCCCTCTCTGTAAAAACACTTTGCACTGTAACAAGCGATTCCTTTAAATAATAAGAAAGGTAGACTATCTTAAAAGCCCTTCCAAATCTCACCACATAAGAACTGTTATATTCACCAAAGACCTTTCATTAGGATTGCTAAAGATAAACCCTCTCTGCTTCTTGTATCTTCACAAAAGCTTTTAAAAGTGTAGACTTATATCTCCAGGAAACATTATTAATGAAGCAGTTGGATTTCTTTATAAATAGGTTACTTTGCAGCCATTTGCTCTGCTAATTATTAACAGAAATGTTGATGATATATCTACAGTGCTTTGGGATGCTGAATATTATCTAAAGTCCTTTTAAAAAGCATTTTAGAAGAATAAATCATATCTGAAGTGTGAATTGAAACTGTAAAATAATATACATGGAAACCAGCAGCAGAAATGATTAGCTCACATTTCCTCCCAGCAGTTTTGCCTACAAATATATCTGATGCCATGTGAGTATTGCTTCACAGTAACATCATAATTTTGCTGATGTCAGTTTCTATTAAAGTATCCTAATAAGTAGTAACTATTCTGATAAATAAATGCACGTGAAGAATAATTGGAATATAGATATCATACTAGAGCAATTCAGAGAAAGGTAATTATCTTTCATGAATTATTTCAGTATTTGGTTTTATTCTCTTCTATGAAATTCTGCACACGCACGCACACACACAGGCACACGCACATAGCAGAGTTTCAGGCCCAGGCAAGTCTTCCTGGGGCACTGCTGAAAAATTACAGACCAGGGAAGCCCCAGCTACTCAAATCAGCAGCAGTCTGTCTGCTGCAGATGGACAGAGAGATGAGCCAGAAAGGCAAGGGGTGTGATTTTTAAAACCTACCCAGTTTCTAAGAAGAACTTGATGATATCAAACTCTTCAGAAAAATAACTTGATTTTGAGAGGTCAGCAAATTCTCACCAAAAACTGTGGTGCTCGTGTGTTTCTGACAACATAGCAGCTATATCTGTCACGTGTCTTGACAAAGCAAAATAAAAAATATTTGGGAGAGTTGGTGAAGAGGACAACAAGAAATGTTAGTGAAAAAATACTATGGAATAATCAAAAGTAAAAAGAAGGGAGAAACAATGTCTAGAAATATCTAAGATAATGGCTCTGATGTGCTTTCAGGGTGGTATCCTCTGTTCCAGATGCTCTTCTCTTGTGGCTACTTCTTTTCTCAACCTGCTGTCAAACAAGTACTCCCTGTATGACTTTCTCTCCTTCTCTCTGATTTAAGCCTTCTTTCTAAAGTGTTGGCTGTTTTTTCCGTCCTGCTTATTCATTCTGCTCTCTTAGCAGTTTCTTCTTCCTGCTACCAAAGCATCCTTGAATCACCATCATCTAGATTTTCATGCAAGTGTTTTCACAGCTCCTTGTTGAACACCTCTCCTTTGCACTTGGGATACCCTTTCAAACAAGTTCACAAACCCGTAGTCCCCCAAACCCCAGCCCTGGCCTTGCCTACAACCCCAGCTTTACCATTCTGCAATATGCCAATGGCAAGGCAGTGGGCTAGTAAGGGCTGACGTTTACTTTTTAAGACGAATTTGAAATACTTGACAATTAAATTATTCACACAGGGTCTTATGTCAGTGGGCCTCCGGAGCATTTCCAGGGGTTCTGTTAACAAAGAGACTATTTTTGTATAAGTTTAGCCTAGGGGGGTCATCCTTTCCTTCTACTTTTCTAGGAAAAATTAAATACAATTGTGCCTACATGTTATTCATGCTTTCTGTAGCCCTTCTTTAATGTTTATTAGTGACCTTTGGGGGTTAATTAATGCCCAGACATTTCACCCATGAACTGTTTTCTAATTCAATTTGTTAAATGCAAGTAACCATAAATAATTATAAATCAATTACTGTCTATTCTACACTTCACCAACCAAAAAAATCATAACAAAGTATTTTTGAAGGTGATTGAGAAAAATGAACTGCATCCATAAGGCTAGACATTTGTGCTTCAATTTATCTTTTCCTTCCCAAAACTGCCATTTGAAATACATTTTGCTAAATATGGGAGCTACTTTTGTAGAAGAAATCAATTATATTCTTAAGTTTAAATCTTCTTTTTTCCCAGCCATGCTCTAATGCATCACTGTACCTCAGAAATGTACCCTGGGGAAAAAGCTTCTATTCTTCACTAAAAATCCATGAATAACATTATGAAGAAATTCATTTATGATAAATGATTTAAAATCTTAACCTAGAACGGTGTCTTATTCAAATGTCATCAGAAAATGGCACCTCACCCGCAGAAAGGAGTCAAGGGATCCATTCTCCATGTATTCAACTACAATCATTACTGGTCTGCCTGCAAAACAGCAAAGAAACACATTAGGATCATAGACATATTATGGGGCTTTTATAATTCCAGCTGTTATGCATAGATTATTCACAGTAGTTAAATATGTTACATGTTTTCAAAATCCTCATTTCTATCACAACCACAATTCCCTGTGTTATTCTCTAAGAATTATTTTCTGTCTTTCTTTTTGGGGGGTTGGGGGCAAGTGGTACTGGATTAGCTGAAGATGCATCGTTTGCTCCAGAGTATTCTCCCCTTAAAATGGATCAAAGAAGAGCCTGCTATTTCCAAATAGCAACACTTGCTGTGTAACATTTTGGAATATATTTGAGTTAAGACCAAAAAAAAAAAAAAGTCATAAGCCATGTCTAAGAAATTACAAACTCAGTGCCATAATTTTCCTCTCAAAGAAAAATATCTCAATGGCATACAGATAGACAGATAGAAGGGGATGTCACAAAAAAAGCTCTCCTAGACTGGGTGTGTGTATTGGGTGTGTATAACCCAGCAAGACTCTGAATTCATATGTTTGTACATACATAACAGATACACAATGTTACTCAAATCAAAGTTTTGCTCAACTAGCACAGCTTTCCAGTATGGTTCCAGGGTGGGATCATATCCAAATTGAAGTAGAATAACATGTTACATTTATTTCTTAAAAGAATATCCAAATCTGAAGATAAACTCTTAAACTGGGTACTTAACTAAATACCATTTCACTGTTGATACCCAGGACTAAACTACCACTCTAAAACAGCTTAACAGGAGAAGCCCAGTTAGCATGCTAATCAGGCTACACAGCAAGAAGTTTTTTAGAATTGTTAATATTACAAAGGAGCCATTCTAATATATGCAAAACTAATGTAATGAATAAGTATGTTAGTAAGATTGGGAAGGAAGTAAAAAGTCTTAAAATGGCAAACTTTTCTTTCCCTGAGAATGCCTGTCTCTTTTGGGGTTTGTGCAAAACTGGGGGTGTGCCAAGTGGTGACACCACAAGTCCACCCATTTCATCACTTTCTCAATACAACACTAGGTGTTGCCATATTTTTCAAATCCAAAGGAAGTGTCTTTCATGACTTTTTTCCTCTGCCTCTCAAACTATGTTTCTGTTTCATTTGGACAAGGGGATGAGAAACAGTGTTCAGGGTGAGAAAGTGTAGAAGGGTATTATGACTGTTCCAGCACAATTGTCCATTTCTGCACATGCTAACTTTCTGTTCAGTTTGGTTAACAGTGTAAGTGTTTATTAAACTGTCCACAATATACAATAAGCCACAGCCAGGTATTTCTCCTGAGCTGTTACAGCTAACCTTGAATTTAAAAAAGTGAACGAGCCATTTCTCTGTTCATCCTAGCATGTCGACTTGGAGTTCCAGGTACCCCAGTGATGCTCATTCATGTAGCTTAGCCTAGTCTTTCTTGAGTTCCTCACAATAGTCTCTCATTTCTTGTAATAAAATTTGGGGTTCATTCTGTATTGACCCTCAAGTTTAGGTTGTCAATGGATAAAACAGTGCTTCATAATGCTGGCACAGTAGTACGTTTTTTCTGTGTGAAAATTATCAGATGCCTTATTAGCCTTTCTGAAGTGTGAAGAATTACCAGCTGCTTTTTTTTTTAATTGAGTGTTTGGTCGCGGCTGCAGATGTGCATCTGCCACCAAAGCAATTTATGTTCATCTGCATCCATTGGTTATACCCTGGTTTTGCATTATAAGCTTAAACGATACATCACTTTTAAGCTGCCAAAGATCACAGCATTTTAAAAATTAATGTTTTCTTTACTTCAGCTTGCTAATGATGACTAGTAGTATAGCCTACTCTCTTTAGTTTCAAGCACATGAATGACCTAGATTCCCTTACCTTTACCATTTGCTTACTGTCAAGGGGCTGACATGTCCATGTGAAAAGAATATTCTATAATCTAGAGAAGTAAACAAACAGCAGCCTTTTGCTAGAGGGTCTTGCTATTTGCAGAACTCTCTCAAGCAAGTAGTAATTTCTAAATTGTTGCACGCAACAGCATCTTGCAATAAATACGGTTGTAAAGCTGGCTTTCAGATGGTATATTTGGTCAGGCATAAGTTACCCAGAAATTCCTCTTTCTGGCTAAATCAACAACTAAAACTTCTTTATGGAAGATCTGCATTTGAAGGGAATGACAAATGGAGCTACTGAGCTTCAAAACAGTGCCCCTAGTTTCCCGTTAGTAAACTTTTGGTGCCCTATGCTTTCCAGAAGCTATTTTGTAAGGTTCTCTAAAGGTTCATAGGCTCTTGTTACATCTTTTATGCTCCTTAGATTAATATCCTTCAACACAGATTTTTTTCCACACTTATTTTGTAAAAGCAATTTTTAATGCTTCTACATTCTCTCACAAAATATTCCCCCCTCCAAAAAACTCCCAACAAACTGTACTTCATTTTGCTCAGACCAACAGTATGATCTTCTAGGCTAAAGTAACTATGAAATGTATCTATATGCATTTATCTGTGGATTTAAAAAAGACATTTCAGTATTTTTCACTGGATAATATTTATGAGTTTTTAAACTGCTCGATGTGTTCCTTTAATCACTTTAAATGATATGCCTTAACACAAAACCAGCTCTTCCACATGATAGCACAGGAATAGCATGATCTGGTAAATACACCAAAATAAGTAGCATTTGTCTTCAAACAGGTCACTGTATATTGGAAGATCAGCATATCATTAAGTATTTAGGAATTCTGGTGAACAATAAATTTAATCACTTAGGCTGATAGCTTCCCACAGACTCGGTCTGTATTGCTCGCCATCCTACCTAAATCTCAAATGAAGTTGATGCAAGATTGTGTCAAGCCACCACAAAAATGAACCCAGCTCCATCACTTGATTATCTTACGCAAAAATCTTGAATCTGGATCCTAACACTAACTTCTGAAATAATCTTCTTTTAGTGTGCCAGCACTTGATAAAAGCCATCCTATTTTGGCTGCAAGTTTAAAGTATCACTGAAGATATTTATGTATTCCAAGCTGGACTGTGACATGCAATACAGTGAGACTTATGGTCAGCATCCTATTTGTCTTTGGAGTACCTGTAGTTCAAAAATGTCTCAGCTATTGTTTTGGTTGCTTGAAGATATAGTAAAAAACTCTGCTACACAGCAGATTCCAGTGGGTATGTTTATCATCAAAGTGGTAACATACAGGTTCTATTCCCAGCAAACAATTGTTTTTCCAATAATTTTATAGGTTTGCAAATTTCATACAAGGATTTCTAAACATTTCAAAATGTAAGTACACCAAGCGTCAGGAAACATAAGGTAGGACACATCTTGATTTCAAAGGTGTGGTAGAGAAAACAGGTTCAGAAAATCAAGTGGCTCTCTCCATCTAGTCAGTATAGTATACCCAACCGGGCTGTGTTTGGGTACCGATAGACAACATTTTTTCTTCCCTAGATCAATACCCTGTAGAGGCACTTGAGTGATTCCTTCATGCATTCGTGTTACATAAACAGACTCTCCAGTTCACAAATGGTTGAAGGAATGGGACTAGCGGTTGGCTCTGGAGAAGCTGGCTGAGATGTGAGGATGAACAGCTGACGCTGGCACATCCAAGGGCAGAATCCAACATTGGGCAGCTCAGACCAGAGACCGAGTCACCAGTCCCAAGGGCATGCAGTAGGACAGACTGGACAGCATTCTGCAATCTTCAAAGGGTCAGAGGGTGGCAGCCAATGCAGGGCTCGTGTAGAACAAAGTTCTTGCTAAGACAAAAGGCTATGGATGACATTAGTTGATGTTAGTTTCATTTTAGCTGCAAAGAGCAGATGTTATCCTTTACACCATGCTACGGTTTGAGTCCAGAAAAGATTAAGGTCTGTGCTGAGCCCTGTACAAACACAGAATACTGCTTTTGCTTTGAAGAGGATTACAAAACTGACTTTGAAAAATAATACTGGGAGATTTCTAAACTAGCGTAATATTTGCCTCTAGACAAAAAAAAAAGAAAAAAGACTATTACTTAGATTATGAAAATCCATGTTGCTCTCATGGTACTAAGAAAGATGAATTTGTCATCCCCCAAACAAGGACAGGAATGAATAAATGGGGGGGGGGGGGGGGGGGGCAGAGAAGTCTCTGAGACGGAGAAGTGATCTTTGATTATTTTATCATGGGGTAGGCTAATGCAATTCCGGAAGGTATTGAATTATTTTCCTATATTTATGACTGCTTACACATATAAAACATGGACATCTTTACTTGAAGAAACAGGTTTAAGGACAAACAGCAGTGGGAGGCAATACCGATGGGAGTCAGAAAAGCACTCAGGGCTCAGAAGGACGGCACAGGCTGCAGAACAGGCACAGCCGTGCCAGCACTGCCTGAGCCTGCTACATGAGCATCTGTGAGAGCTTGCACGTAGCCCCAGGGAACTCTGTATGGGCAAGAGAGCATGCACCAAAAGGCTCTCCTGTGACAGATGATGAGTCCCCTCTGCAGCATGGGTGCACCTCACCAGATAAGTGGAAACCCAAACTCTAGTTTAAAGGCTTGACAAATTCAGGCCAGGGTTTTCACACAGATACAGGCATAGGCACTAGAGAAGTATCTGAAGAAGAACCAGGTTAATATTACAGTCAAGATCCACATAAGAAAAGGCATGGAAAAACAACAATGAAAAAGGTGTCAGCTTGGGCTGAGGACTTGGAATAAAAGACAGAGGTCAAGAGCATCCAGGAGCTAAAACCTGCAAGTGCTGCTGGAGGAGAACACACAGCTTCATGTCTGAATTGGGGAAGGACAAAATATAAAAAGGTTTGAAGATGGATTCAATGATCAAATCAGTCAAACATATCATTCTTGCAGCAGTTTCAGATACCTAGCAGTGCTGGAGTAGAGAGTACTGCAAGAAAACAGACTTTTGAAGTAGAGGAATTATATAGTGTTCTGAGGCATTAGATTTTAATCCCAAATACAGATTTTACACACTATGTATACCACATTTAGCATTTG